GGGGGGTCAGAAACTGGAATAGACTGCCTCGGGAGGTGGTTGAGTCGCCATCCCTGGATGTGTTCAGGTGTTGCTTAGATGTGGTGTTGGGTCATATGGTTTAGGGGTGAACTTGTAGTGTAGGGTCAATGGTTGGACTCGATGATCCCAAGGGTCTTTTCCAACATGAATTGTTCTGTGATTCCATGAAGGGCAGCCTGGCAAAGGGCTGGCCAAGGCCCTGCCGCGCTCTTAATGTTAAGCTGCTGCTTTGCAAAACTTGCTCCTGTTCTCCCAGTGGAAACAAACCTTCAAGTCCATAGCAGACCCTATAAGTCTGTCACTCGAGAATACTTTTACAGGATAAGGACTCGCGTTGTTAAACACAAGTCCTTTACATCTCGCCAGCTGAGTTGTTTAGTAACTTTAAAAAAGTGAACCCTTGCACAAAACCAATGTGATTGGAATTAAACAGAACTTAGGTCTTTAAAATTTAGAATGTGTTTTAAAAAACCATATTTTCAAGAAATAAACTGGATTTTAAGCAATAATCATAAACTCTTTCTTAGCATATTTTGTAAATAATCAGAAGAGGAAAGCTACTCTGGTATATTTATCCATATCCTGCTGGATTAGTTTAAACAATTGTAAATAGGAAATTAGATTTTTAATGTGGTGGGGTTTTTGTTAGAAAACGATAAATTATTTTGGTTTTACTATATAGACAGTGTGATGTTTGAATCTATTAGATAAAAATATATATGTCTATACACATATTTAAACATGCCTAGGATTTTGTGCAATCAGGTGGCACAAAAGAGCATTTTTAAAAGTTGAAAGATTATACTGCTTTCCACATAAGAAATAGGAATTGCTTCCTCCCTTAAACTCGTAGTATTATTAGAGGATTCAAGCAGCAGATGATGATATAGGGTGAGATGCTCTCTGTGCCTGTTTTGGAAAACGAATGTTCTTTTTCCTCTTTAAGCACAGGAGATGATTGGGATCTAAATACAGGCCTCAGATAAGGCAGAGGGAGTTGTCATTACTGGGAAAAAATAGGCTGCTGGTCTTGCTTGCCTGTTTTATGTAATGGTCAGTCCAGTAACTGTTTTCTGAGAACATTTCTGCCCAATTATCCCTCTTAGAGAAGGTTGTTTTGAGACTCTTATCAGGGTTTTATATGTATGCTTAAGGCTTTCTGCATAGCCAAGAGGCAGGACTTACCTATAGATACACATCTACATTGGGGATTAGGCAGCAATTTAAAGTTATTTTTGAGGTTCTTGCTATACACCTGAATCCAAAGTGGCAGTTGAGCAACCTCTATTTAATCCTGAAGCTTTTAAGTGGCTGACTCCTCAAATGTTTTTATGCAATGTGCAGAATCAAAGCATTAAGCAAAAATACTTTCTTGTGATTTCTGCCCCTCCTCTCCGGTTTGCGTAATTGTATGCTTCCCCTTGTATTGCTAAACCTTCCTTTTCTTCATGATTTAGTCCTATTTTTGTCTGTGCAGCAGTTTGAAAGATGTTGCTTCTAACTTTGATAAATGTAACTAGGACAGCCACTTCTCCTACTGTAAAGTAAGCACCCTAAAAGTCAAAGACAATTTTAAACAAGACTGTGTGCAGTATGCTTCACTTAAAACATGCTTTCTGAATTTCACTTTACCTAGTGAGTTAAATCAGCGTGAAAGAACTTGTTCTTCAGTCACTTTTCTGATTTGTGTTTCTCCCCCACACCCCCCTTTCCTTTTTGGTGATATTTCAGGAAATTGTCACCAGCTTTCCATCAAGCACTTCTGTCTTTCTGTCGGATGTCAGCAGACAGCCGTTTGGGATCAGAGGTATATTTCACCTTTGACTTAAAGTAGATCCTTTTTTCTGCATGGCAGCTGTAGTTAAGCAATAATTGCTTCGAAACAAGACTTACTAATATATATGGAGAAGCTTATGTGCATGAAACCTAAGAAACAAGGGTATGCTTTCAGATTTTAGCTTAAATATGAAACCTGGTGACAGATATGTAATTACAGGGAAGTTTTGAGTCTGTGCAAGTGGATTCATGCCTTTGAAGTTACTTTTAGATCAAAAACGTATGACTTAACGTATGTGAGTAAATTAATGTTTTCTGGTAGGCAATCAGCTTGCTGCAATTCTCTTTATTCCTTTGAAAGGATATTTTTCTGTTCCTGCGCTTCATTTCAAAAAAACAAACAACTCCCTCTTTTCTAGGTATCTCGGATTGCAGACAGTGAAAAAAGTGTCATGTTAATGTTGGGACGCTGCCTGCCTCATATAGTTCCTAATGTGCTTCTTGCAAAACGAGAGGTGAGGAACCCTGAAATTTTATATTTTAGTTTTACTAAGATGTTTTCTTGTTCATTTTGAAGATTTTGTCTCTAATTTCATGACAGTCTGTTACTTGCAATCATGTTCTTACTTTTGTGCATGCATCTCTGCTCCTAGAAAATGGTTTTACACCTCTGTCAGGTGAGTTCAGTAAACCTGCACGGGATCCTCATACCACCTCCTTTGCTTAAGGCACCCGTTAGCATTCAGCAAGACTAAATGTTACTGTAGGTCCATCTGTTTGTGGTAGCACAGATGTTTTTTGTTAGAGAAGACCACAGTTAACATGTGTTAGGAAGAGTGAAGGATATAAGTTCAAACATGAAATGTGGTTCATTTTATCAATTTTAATAAGGATTAATGTTCAGGTTCTTTTTGCGGTACCATGTACCTCAACAAAAAAATTATTTTACTGTCTTTCTCTAGAAGCTCTGTGTATCAGCCAAGATAAGGTTCATCAAAAACACCACTGCATAAGAAAAGCAGTAATCTCAATTATATATTTACCTTAAATTTAATATGAAGCTGGATGAAATTATGAAAACATAACATTTATTTTAAATGTAAATGAAGATGACATTTTGCATAATTTTTCATACAGTACATTGTAGAAGAAGGCCATGATCGAAGATCAAAAAAAATATAAATTACTGGATTTGTATTGCTTTGTTGTAAATATTGCACATTACCAAATGTGTAGAAAATAAAAATAACAAAATAAATCAAATAAATTCAATGGCCTTATAGATGACACCGAAATAGAAGTTTGAAGTGGCATAGCTTGTTGAGTAAGTTTTAGTCCTTGTTAAGAGGACCTACAGTATGGTAGAGTTAGTAGTGTGTTTTGCATAAGTTCGTTTTAAGGCTTTGAAAAATCCTGAAGAAATTTGTACTGATCCTATAATAAAATTTTGTAACATACAAGTACTTACTAGCAGTTGGCATGGTGAGTTTGAGATGTACCACGTTTTCAGAGTCTCAAGGTGTTGTGTTTTGTTGTTGTTTTTTTTTTTTTCTGAGGATGTGGGGCTGTTAACTGGATGTGCAAAATGGTTCTGTTAATAGTATTTTGAAATAATTCTATGAATGTTCCTGGATCAGTGCTTAATTTCTGATTTCTTATTTTTTCCTTTCCTTCCCTCTGCTTGACAGGATGTGGTATTTTGTCTTTTTTTCAGAGCTTGTAGCATAATCTGTGTAATGCATTTAATATTTTGTGACTTTTTAGGTTATTTCTTGCTTTCACAGTTGAAGTTGCATTTGATGACATGTATTTTTGTCTTAACCGAAGTATCTTTTTCAATTTGTTTGAAAAAGCCACAAGTGAGAATTGTGTAACTGGATTGCATTGGATGATAACTGTTCCAAGAATTGAAATGTGCTTTAAAACTAACTTTTCTTAGTTACCACCCTTTTGCTCTAACTGTTGTAATGTTCTTTCGGAGGTAGGCGTGGAATTTGAAGGAAAACGTGGGTAGACCATCTGTTAGTGTTTATTAATATGTCTTACCAAAAAGCTAATGTTAGAATTAGGCTTTCTTCAGCAAGGCTTTCTTCAACAAGGTCTTGTCCAAAAACAATCGTCACATTTTACAGGAAGATGACTAATTTGAGAAAGATATCTAACGGGTTCAGGTCATAATGCAAAGTGATCACCAGTCTACTCTGAAAACATGCAGTGGTAGTATTTAAGATCTTACACTGTTGGTGTGTTAGACATGAGAATTAAATATAACTTTGTGGTGCCTCCCTGAAGCACCTGTCTTCCTCCTTTAAAGCATCTGTCATGTTGTAATTGGTTGCAAAATATTAAGCTAAAGATGTTGTGCAAGACATTTTCATTTTGGAGACACTGGGTTTGTGGACATTGAAACTCTCTCAGCAGGTATCGCCCTTTAGCAGAGATGCAGAAGCTGTTTCACCAATGCTTTTAACTCTCTTTAAGATTAGAGGCAGCCTGCCTGGTTTAGTAATAAGTGATCCAGTAAACATTACAGTTGGCATCTGAGTGACCAGTTAGTGTGTGAATGTCTAATGCATTTCTGAAATTAGTTATGTTACTTTTGTGTATTGGTAGAGCTTTGTTCTTCAATGTCTATAGTTTAGGTTGAGATGGAAGATAAGGAACAAGGAAAAATACAGTTATTGAGTAGCGTGGATGAGGAAATCATTTTAGTTGTTTCTAGCAGTTCAGCCAGGTAAAATCAATAATGCATAATAGAAAATAATTGCTTGAAAGGAATTTATAGTCATTAAAAATTCCATATATTGATATATAAAATTATTTTTTTAATCCTAAGTGTCTAGGTTATCTTAACTGCTTGAAAGCATGTATGTCAATGTTTAGGTTAGTATGTGAATACACTCACCAAGGAGATACTACAGACCAAACAGTAACTGAAATGAACAGTTACAAGATGCTGAAAACCTATTCTTTGATAAAAAAGCCCTTTGACTTTGTATACAGTCTGTGATGAAACTGATGAGCAGCTTGTTCATAAAATTTCATGTGCACTGGAATCTGCTTCCTCAGTTGTGTTTTTACCACTTCAGAAAACATTTCAGATCAAAAAAAAAATCAGCTTCCTTCTACTTGTCATGAGGTATACCATAAAATAATTCCTTTGACTAAACTGCAATTGGAGAAGAACAATCTTTTAAAACTTTTGTGATAATTAATCAGTGCAATGTTCATTTCTCACCCTTTATATGATGTAAGAATTCAGCATCTTTTTACCAGGTAACAGAAGTAACCTCATTTGTACATATAACTTCCACACTCTGCATTATGTAGTCCTTTAGCCCAGTTTGGGCCAGAGTCAACTTCCTGGCTTATTATCAGGATCTTGTTCTTAATCAAGAAGCACTTTTCCTTAGTTATTTATAGTTTTCATCTCACCTGTTGTTCCAGAGTTAGTCTCTGTAACTTTTGTGTTATGCAAACTTAGCAAAATCAATATAATAATAGTTAATTAAAGGTGCACCACATTTAGTTAGTAACATTTGTATAGAGTTGGATATGTTATGAATCAAGTTTTGCTTTTAAAATCTTTGTAAAATTGAAGGAAGGATAATGTCGAGTCTGCAAACTGGGTGCCATTCTTCACTCTGCTGAGGAAAGTAATGCTGTAAGTTCAAAGCCATTCACGTTATTGTGTAGTAACTGCACATAGACATCACTGAGGCACTTTCTTCTCTGGTGTTTCTTGTAGGTAGATGTCACTTAAAACACAGTAGAGCTGAATATCTTGTTACAGATTTTCATCTCAGCCTCACACTTCATTAAAACATGGAAAAAAAATGCTGTGTCAGAGCTTGGCAGTGGTTGTGACAAGCAGATGTCATTTTGGTTGGATATGGATAAGGGTACACAAGTATGGAGTTCTAACTGACTGTTCCTGTTTCACAGAATAGGAGAAAATAGAAGAATGTAAATGAACAATTAACATCCTTTCTGTTACTCTATGAAACTTAGATTGTGATAGCCTTCTATAGATTATGTTTTCTGAAAAATAGGGATAGTGTTGACCACTACTAGTCCTCTTCTGGTTTATGTGGGGTGTTGGTTTCAGTTTGGGGAGCTTATTTGTTTTGGAGTGAGGTTGCATCCCACACATGAGAGAGAGAGAACCATTTTTTCAGTTCAGTCCATTAGGTTTTTTTCCTCTGAATTGAATTTATGAATTGAATTGCCAGTTGTTACTGGTTTTATCACAGTAGTTTTATATGCGGGTTTCCAAATAAACAGCAGATATAAACAAAGTATGACTTTTTTCACACCCATATCTGCATTGATTCTTATATAAAAGCATTCCTTTGGGATCTACCAAGAGGCTTAATTTGGATCCTGAAATAATAGTCTTATTCCATGAAATTTAATTAGAGTTGTAATTTTAATATTAATGAGTGGCACAAAGTTCTGAGTCTTGTATTAATCCTATGATTAAATACCTTTTCATTTTAAAACTAAAAAGGTGAATACTGAAATTCAAATATTTCCTTGCACAAGAGACTCTGTGTCAGTATTTTTTTAGCACCTGCAGCTATTTCAGTTGCTGCAGATAAAATTATTTTATTTAATGATTGTCAAAGGCTGAGTTGCAGAAGAATCTTAACATAGGATGGGTTCACAAGATAAGCATTGACTTTTAGAAGAGATTAAAAGGGACACATTTATGAAATTGATCATAATGTCATCCTGGTTTATATATAATGTTGTCACCTGTTTGCCATATTATTACATTATTATTTGAAATAATAAGTGATGTCTATCCTAAGCTATTGAAGTAACCAGTCTTGACACTTTATTCTAAAGAATAAATTTAATTAGTATTATTCTTTTGTTTATGAATACTCTTAAGAAAGAGATGCTAATTAGTGAAAAAAAACTAAGATGTAGAAGACTTGTTCAGAACATTAAAAAAAAAAATTTATGATGGAGGCAACAACTTGTATAGAAAATTCCTCACTACCTTGTACGAAAAGTGTCAGTAAAATAGAGAAATATTTGCTATAGGATGCATTTAAAAAACCTTCCAACTTTAATATTTTGTTGTAATACTTTTGATATGTAGAAGGAACAGTTTTGAACATAGCCAAGGTGATACCATTTACTATGAAGAGCTGCTTCATGTGCCCATGTACACTTTGTCTTTATCGAGAACTTGAATCGGCTCAGATAGTGAATCCTGTTCAAAGGTAACGAATCATGTTGTTTTGAGTTAGGGGGAAGTTGTCCAAAGGTAATATGGTCAAAAAATGCGAGATTTTATTTGGAGAGACCTACAAGGGCAGAAGTAGAATGGGGAGAAGATATGGGCCATTTCAGTTGTCCTGTTAGATCAGCCTTGTCTGTCATTTACCTGTATGTAGCTGATCTCACAGTAAAAACAAATTAACATTTTTTTCCCTGTTGTACATCTGGGTAGCGTCACATACAAACTTGCCTCTTCACTAGTAGAGGTGAGACCTCTGACACATGATGTTTTCTTTCATCAGGTTGCAAGTGCCAACATGATAGTGGCAGTCTGCTTGGCATCTCGTGGGAAAACAGTATCGCAGCTCTGAAAGTCACTTCTGGTACTGGTGACCAACACCAGCGTGAATTCATCAGTTTCCCTAAGTTAGAGGCAAAAGGGAAAAGAGGGACTTGGGGATGAACAGGATGTTTAAGAAGGTTCCTAAATTAAATAGAGGGAGGGTGGTTGTTTGGTGGATGGTGGGTTTTGAGGGGGTTTTTTTTAATAAAACGTATGATCTTGCTCTATGGTTGGCAGCACAAGTGGTATTCCTTCCCAAGGAAGGCAGGGTTTCAGATGGCGCTGGAAGTCCTCTCCTTGATAATTATATGTAATTTCTGTAACAATATTATGAATGTTGAATTTAAAAGTCAAATGCTAGTATTATTGTGTCTTACTGGAAAATCGCCACTTTCTACAGCACTTAATCTGCTTTTTTTGAGCATGTAAGGGAAGGCCCTTAGAAACAGGAAGCAATGAGCTTGAACTTGCCTGTAGGTTGTTTTTTGTTCTTAATAATCCTGGATATCCTGAGAAGAATTTCTCCCCTTTTAAGCCTTTGGGAGACTTCACTTGACCTCTTTTGTCCATTTATGAGAGTAGTTTTGTTCTTGTCCCACAGGAAGTCCGTTTTATCTCCAGTTTTACTTTCCTTACCAAAGTCTCTAGGGAGCACATACAACACTGTTAAAGACTACTCACTGTTTCTCCACTCCCCTTAGTAGAAGGAGCTGTAGAAGCACTGATGCAGCGATGCAGAGAACACTCTCTTCTCTCATAGTATACATGAAAGAATGTGACCAATGGACAAGAAAATACAGCTAATTGCAACAGCTATAATAACCAGCTTTCTGCAAGGTAAAGAACTAGCCTTGTATCTGCCCCATGCCTATGGTGTTAGGTTGCTCATTAGCCTTTTGCACACAAGGCAGTAGTACCTAGGTGAATGTTTGGAGCTGTTTTTCTTTCATTACAAAGCTCGTGGATCTGTTTTGAAATCTAGCAGGACTTCTGAGTGAAAACATGAGATTTGAGTAGGCGCTCAAACATACTAGGAGAGTGAAGTCAGTGTGATGGTTTTAATAGAAGAAATAAAACCTCCAGATTATAAAAGATACACGTATCCTATTTCATAGGGTATATTCTTTATAAGGAGTGCTTAACAGTAATGGCAAGAGCAGTTGGATAATGTGAGTTTAGGTAGATTTTGGAAAATTAAATCTCTGTAAAATAACACAAGGCTTGTTTTTGATGTAAAGGTTTTTCCATGAGCCGTATTCCTCATGGTGAAGTTAGTAGTTATGTTGTGTGTCTACCAATTGCAATCTGATTTCCTATTTAAAAGTTTGTAGCTTAATATATAAGTAGTATTTATAGTGGGAAGGTGTGGGGTTTTTAATAATGTTTTTTCAAATCTTTTTCAGTTAAAATAGTTTTCCAGGAGAGAACATAGTTCTGCGAAGTACAAAAAAGGTCAAATAGGTTAAGCCTCTTGCCTCCTCAGAACTTTAAATGGGCACGCTGGAGAGCTGGTCAAAGGGGAACCTCGTAAAGTTCAGTAAGGACAAGTGTAGAATCCTGCATCTGGGGAGGAATAACACCAGGCCCCAGTACAGATTAGGGGTCGTCCTGCTGGAAAGCAGCCCCAAGGAGAAAGACCTTGGGGTCCTAGTGGCCAGTGAGTTGTCCATGGAACAGCAACGTCCCCTTGTGGCCAAGAGGCCAATGGGATCCTGGGGTGCATTAAGAAAAGTGTGTCCAGCAGCTCTAGGGAGGTTCTCCTCCCCCTCTTCTCTGCCCTGGTGAGACCTCACCTGGAATACTGTGTCCAGTTTTGGGCTCCCCAGTTCAAGAGAGACAGAGACCCACTGGAGAGAGTCCAAGGGAGAGCTACGAGGATGATTAAGGGACTTGAACATCTCTCCTGTGAAGAGAGACTGAGAGAACTGGGGCTGTTTAGCCTTGAAAGGAGACGGCTGAGAGGGGATCTTATTAACGAATAGAAATATCTGAGGGGTGGGTGTCAAGAGGAAGGGGACAGTCTCTTCTCTGTGGTGCCCAGCAATAGAACAGGAAATAATGAGTTTTAAGTTAGAACGTCGGAAGTTCCACCTCAACATGGGGAGAAACTTTTTCCCTGTGAGGGTGACGGAGCACTGGCACAGGCTGCCTAGAGAGGTTGTGAAGTCGTTTCTGGAGACATTCAAAACCCACCTGGACACGTTCCTGCGTGACCTGCCCTAGGTGATCCTGCTCTGGCAGGGGGTTGGACTAGATGATCTCTAGAGGTCCCTTCCAACCCCGAACATTCCGTGATTCTATGGTCCAGGTTACTGGCCCCAGTTCTCTGCACCGACACCTAGGTTTGTATTGTTGTTTTCCCTCAGCCTCCTGATGTGCTGCTTCTGTTTGGCTGGAATACAGGTTGACGTCAACAAGGTCAAGGAGAGGGACTTCCAGTCCACATTTTAGAAATATTTGATTCTTCTGGGAATGAATACCATGAGCTTTGAAGGGGATGGAGGAGGTCTTCACTATTGTGAACAGCCTTATGTTTTCTTTCAGTTCATGTTTTACACAGTGTTTTTTTGGTAGTCTGCTCCTTAAGAGAATTGAATTAGTTTAAAAACTAAATTTAGCTTCAGATATTGTCTCTATTGGAAAAAAAAACAAAGCACCAAACCACAACCAACAAACCTTCAAAAAATTCTTAGAGTTCTTGACAGAAATTAGAGGGTATCTGTCTGCAGTCACCTTTACCAACGTCTGTTTTTCAGTGTTTGAACTGGTTCACAAAACTGTGTGCATGCTTAATGGAAATTTTAATCTTTAACTCCATGGCATTAGAAATAGCTTTGTCTATAGGAGCTTTATTCCATAGCTGTCTGTGCAGTTTTCTTCAGTTCCATAGGCAGTGGAGATAATTTCAGCCATGATTATCCTCAAATTCTGCTTACAGGTGATGTGCATGTGGTAATCGTAACCTTTGCAGAGCTTTTTGTTTTATGTGCTGTTCTCCCCTGATCCTTCCTAGCAGGGAAAAAATTCTAACTTTTGTAGACTTTCACTTCTTTCAGGTCACTTAATAAGAGATCAAGACTCTAAAACACCTTCTCTAAATGTTCTGATGTTATGTGGTTAGATTTATCTTCTTAGTTTCTTTTGACATGGATGAATGTATGCCCAAAATGTTTTTACTTTGTTTGGTTTTCCCCACCCACAACATTTTAGGAACTGATCCCACTCATACTGTGTACAGCCTGCCTCCATCCTGAACCCAAAGAGAGAGATCAGCTTCTACACATACTGTTCAATTTGATCAAACGACCAGATGATGAGCAAAGGTGTGTTTGCGTTTGTACGTTGCGGGACAAGAGGGAACTTTTTTCTCTGTTAAAGAAGCAGAACTAATAGAAACTGGCTATTATTGGATGATTTTAACCAAGTTTCACTTAAGGTGATATTTTGCTTGTATAGTGTTGACAGATTTATGTGGACTTCAGGACTTTTAATTTCTATGACCTGTACTTACTAGTTACTGAAATGCAAGAATGTGATTGGTAAGCTGCAGTGTAACGTTTCAGCTCCTTTTTCGTTTAAAGTTGAACTGAAACGCCTTTTTAAAATGAGCTTTAAAGGTCATAATTTTTACCAAAAGTTGACAAAGAGAAATCAAAACAACTCTTTAAACTGCTGTCTTAGTGTATCTTAGCATCTGTATGTTTGTAAGTTAATTAACATGTTTAGGGACAATAGCATGAAAAATTAGTGCTCTTCCTACATACAGTTTAGTACTATGGTAGCAATAAAAAATTCAGAAGACTGAAGCAGTTATTTAGTTCTGACAAGTGTTAAGAGCTTTGGGTTTTTTGTGGTTAAGACTTTGAAACAAAGTGTATTTTTTAATTTTGTGTTATAAACTTGGTTCTTCCTCAGTGCACAGGAAATCTGACTTTGTACCAGTCTTCATAAGAGTATCCTTAAGGTTGAAAGACAGTACGCTAGCTGGTATGCTTCCTTCTCTAACTGGAAAGATTTTTCACATTTGATCTGTAGCATTTCTATCATTTTCATTAGAGATGTTTGGTAAAGTGTCTGTATCCATTGTTGCTCTAGTCTGTCTTCAAACAAAATAGGCTTTATGAAATAAGTGGAAAGGATTTCTTCTGGAAATTCTCTGAAACGGAAGTGTTCTAATGTCTTTCCAAGTTGTTCCCGTGATAAAATTTAGAGATGCGGTACAACTGAAAGAAATGGCTTTGGAGACCAAAAATGCTTAAATAAATAAAAAGCACAGTGGTACTGTACAGATTGAAATAACAAGGTGCAATCTTTATTCTACTTCAGATTCATTAGAAATCTGCTTCTGAAATGCCTACCATTATCTAAAATATTCTGGATTTCCCATGCAGATTGAAAGTCTAAAATTTTGTGTTTGGGGGAGGAGGAAGGAAGTTATATCGTGTAGTCTCTTCTAGTTAATTTGCCACAGTATTGGTGACCTGTCAAGTAGATTTTTTCATTTGCCTGTTCAGCTGCAGTTAGGTGTGTCTTTTTCAGCAGCTAAGAAAGAAGAAAATCCAAGCTTCTTTTTCCTTGAAGTTTTTGATTCTTTGTTGTGACTTAGAGATTTACATCTAAAAAGAAATCATTTTCATCAGAAATTTGGGAAGAATATCCTGCTATAACTTCCAGGAGAAAATACATATACATAATATACATTCACAACACATAAAAATTATGTTTTCTTTTGAAGGTGGCTTAAAGATGGAAGAGTAAAATTCCATCAAATAAAAGAGATTCTGGTTACAAATTGGATTGAAATTCTGAATAACTATTTTCTATTAGTTTTTTCTACTTATATATTTGTATTGAAGTGTATTATGCATGCTTGCTTTTATCTAAATAAGTTTAATATTGTGCACTATGAAGTAATCAAAGACGTTTAGTTTAAGTCACCAGAACAGTGGTATTAATTGTTTTGTATGTTTTTTTCTGCTGTGTTGTACATGCCTACATTATATGTTAAGGTAGTAGTTGGTAAGAAGTTGCTTTTTTTAAAATCTGTTAAATGCAAGAGGCTGAAGTGTGGCATTGCATTTTCTAGTAATGAACCCATTAAAATAAGTGGTTTACTTTAAATACTCGACCTTGTAAAGTATGTTAACAATTACGTAGAAAACCTGTATTATACTTCTTGCCCACGAGAGAGGCTTTTTGGTGCATGCAGATACAGCGTATTGCCATAATCTTGTATACTAACACTGTATTCAACATGGCCAGTTTTATCCTCAAAGCTCTGCTCATTAATGTACTACGCAACTTTTCAAAACATCACGCAAGGGAGGCCTGAAAGATATTCTGAAAATGAATGAGTCTTTTTTGATGAAGTGTATTGTATAACTGGTTAAGAAATAACCAGCAGAATCTCTGCCTTTCAACATTAAGGACTTACTTGCAGTAATATTTAATATTTAAATTTTTTATTTAAATATTTTATATTTACATTTCAGAGGTGACACTAAAATGGTAAGAAATTAATTCTGGCTTCCCACAAAGGAATAATGAGCATATTCACAGTGGTGTCCTAGTGTTACTACGAAGATGATAAAATTGGGGTCTAATGTCCACGTTACCATTTAAAACTTGTTATTGAATTATTGATGTAGGCACTAAAAGTAAATAAACTGCTGAATTGTATGCAAAGTCGGTGTCATGCCAGTCCTATTAACAGGATAAATAGTTAGAAGTAATAAATCTAAGCAAGAAAATACTCATTAAATAGAAATTAAAATATCACAAATAACAGCGAAGTATGGTGTTACTGAAATTTTGAGTATATCTGTGTGTCTATGAAAATTGTTGATTTTCTTGCAAACTTTTAGGAAAGTTTAAAAGTGCAAGGATATAAATACAAATGACTCTAGTGTTTTTTAGATATTACTCATTAATTACTTCACTTTTTGTATTGGACTTTAGAAGAATTCTGATGAATGAAGTTCAGTAATTTGAGAAACATGACAGTAACTGACATGTTAGAATGTTGCAAAACCATGTCACAACAGAATTAAGTTACTGGTTTTGAATGCAGTTCATTAAATCTCAAGAGTGCCTCTAAATAAAAGCAGTATGTGTACTTTGCAAAATACTCATAGTATGATAGTATTTAGATCCTTTTACTGCATGATGAATCATAGTGTTCAGTAATAAGAAATGAATGAGAGATATAGTCACAGATTCTCAGACATTGGGAAATCAGAAATTCTCAGGCTTTGATTTGTGGATTTTGGGATCTGCAACTTGCTGAAAAAGGCTTATTAAACAGAAAACAAGATAGAATAGTTTGGATTAGAAGGGACCAGTAAAGGTCATTTAGTCCACCCCCTCCCTGCAGTGAGCAGGGACAATACTGGCTTTTGTTTTAAGATGTAGCAAGTCAGTCAGTCAGTTTGGTGTGAAATTTTGACTGTAGACAATTGCCTATTACCTGACAGCATCTGCTTTTCCTAACTTAAAGAATATATAATACATATATATATGTATTATAGAACTTCATAAGTAGATTAAAGCTTTACATTTATGTTTTCAGACAGATGATACTGATGGGGTGTGTGGCTTTTGCTCGACATGTTGGACCAACACGTGTAGAAGCTGAGCTTTTACCACAGTGTTGGGAACAGGTAACTGATTATTTTGTGCTTTACAATGGAAACTTAAAAACTCAACATTTCTGAATTTCTAACTTATTTGTTCGAGCAGGAGGTTGATTTGGATTTGTTTTTAAATGAATGGCAATTCAAAGTATTTTTTTTCAGAAAGATATCTGGATGTTCTTTGTCCTCATTGTATATACTTTTATATAACATTAAAGAGAACTCAGAAGCAGAAAATTTGTCAAAGACTACCTGGAGATTCTAGTTACCTGCATGTGTTTCTTGTACTGAAATGTAGATATGCACATTTCATCATCAGTGTTGCCTAATGTATTGCAAAATAGGTGCCTTTATAATTTGTACTGTAATTTCCAGACTGTGGGAAATCTATTTTTATTCAAAGATTTAATTTACTGATTTTTATACTGCATTAAGTCCCTGAGGCAGTGTCCACACTTCAACTAGTTTAAATTATTATACAGAAAATTAAAGAAAAAAGTAGTCAGAAATGAGTCTCCTCTAGATAGGCACCGTTTTACACTTGAAAGATCAGCCTGAAGTTTACACGTGACTTCTAGAATCACAGTGAACTTTTCCACGATAGTTTAAATTAATAGAAATAACTGTAAAACCAAACTGAAATGCCCTTACTGTTCCATCTGAGGCGTAAAACCAGAACAAACTGAATTCAGGTGAAAATGCCTGGTGTTTTCCTACCATAATGAAGAACAGCGAGTTCATCGTTGCCTAAAAGACAGTGAATAACTAAGCCATGACAGAGTTGTAATACTTGCTTTGATGGCACAGTCTTTCTCCACTGATAATTGTCTACTGTTTCTTGCATAACACAGCCATCTGTATTTCACTAAATACAAGCTTGAGCAGTCTTAATACTTTCTGACAGCAGAATTATGTATTATAAGTAGCATTTGTGCTTATATGTGTGGCTGACATATCCATTAAATGAGGGACTCGTGGCAGTAAGAAAATAAACCACGTTTTATTTTCTTAGGTCCTTCATGTGAAATTTAAACATTGTTAAAAAAAAAACAACAGCCTCACCTCAGTAAGAGCCATCTTCATCATGCCAGTTTCTTGCTAATTGCTGATGCAAAATAGAAACAAGTCCAATTGTAACAGTACAACCTACCAGGCTGCCAAGCCGTATGTCATCATGCATTTATTTCATGCCGTTTGCCAGACTTTGTTTGCAGTACTGAAACCAGGTCATTATTTTCTCCAGCAAACTACCAGCTGAATCTCACTGTCACAAGAATGAATTTGTAGAAGGAACTCAAAAGGACATACTATTTTCTACCTTTTTCTCAATAGGTGCTTTAATCATTAAACAGAATGAATTTGTAGAAGGAACTCAAAAGGACGTACTATTTTCTACCTTTTTCTCAGTAGGTGCTTTAATCATTAAAGCATTTGTGCAGTTGGCCTCCAACCAAAATCTATTTACAGATGCAAAGGACTAGGTCCTCAAAGGACTTATCAGGCTAGTCTTTGTGATCTCTCTACCTGCACTTCACAGGCAGAATTTGGTAGCTGGCTCATCTTTGAATTCTCTCTGAATGCTTAAAGTTCCTTCAGAAGTAGTGACAGTTAATTGGTTTCCAAAATTGTACAACTGCTTATTAAAGACAAAAGGAAAATAAATGCTGATAAACATTTTACAGTTATGTTTAGGTTTCCAAGGGCTTAATAATCTTGTGGAAATGTCAGTCTTTTTTTTTTTTCAGTGTGTCGATATGTCTTTGCGAGGTCAGGGCTGTTATTGATATTGCCTTGCCAGTCCACCTAAACCAGTTGAAACTACCCTTTGTTGTTTCCCTCAGGAGGCAGAGGTCTAGGAGGCAAAATGTATCTCTGTTACCAGTAGGGAATTTATTTGGAAGGATGGCACATAAGTCAAACATACTATAGGTATTAAAACAGGCTGGTTTTTGCCTTTCATGTTCTTCATCTGTGGAATCTCCATACTTCCAAAAAAGATAACAGGTGCCTTACCAGGGTTGTCTTACCAAGGCTATACACTGCATAGCAAGAGAGAAGTAAACAGTTGCACCACATGCATATCCTATTTTATCTGATGGGATCAAACTATTCACGTTCCCTCTGACCATTTTACTATAAAATTTGTATTCACAAAGTATATTGAAACATATCACGTGTCCTTGTACAGCCATTACACCGTCCATTAAAGTTGACTCCACCAGGATGCAGACTTGGTTCTGAAGTGTCACTATTAAATTTTAAGGCAGAATTTTCAAACAGCTGTTGAGCAGAAAGGGGAGACAGCACAGGATCAAGAGATTCTTGGGAATATGAACTGTTTGCAGTCACATTTTAGAGGCGTGACATGTTTATTCTGGACTTGAGAGCAAAACTTCAATAGCATGCAAGTACTTTTTGGTTTAGTATGTGTGTTGTCTTTTGACCTCAGTAGCTCTGCTGCGCTGGTTGGCTTGGAGCACTAGAGGGCACTTGTGAAGTTCTTACAGAAACATTCCTAACGGGCTAAACAAGGCAGCATTTTATAACATGTCAGCTCAGAAGTTATTCATATTCTTTAGAGTACAGCAGTCTGTACGCTGTCTTCCACCCTTCCTTTTGCTACATATACATACATACTTCTCTGATTAATTTTTTACTACAAGCTAGTTTATAGGACAACTAGAGGAAGTTGTATCTGCCTTGCCTTTATGCCTTAGTGGAAACATTTGGTGCTGCCTAATACTCATATGCAACGTCTACAGGCACAGTCAATGTTTATTTAAGAGGTGCAGCTGTTTCCCTCCTTTGCAGTTCATTCTGACCGTATTTTGAATACTGGTTACTGCAAAGCAAATAGCCATTCTGTTGCTCTTTACCAGATCAACCACAAATACCCAGAGAGACGACTACTGGTAGCAGAATCCTGTGGAGCGCTAGCACCTTACCTTCCAGTAAGTATCAATACTGACTCCAAGTACTTTACTAGTGAAAGCAGGGTGAAAATCTACTGCATAATGTAAACATCCTTTATCATATTCGATATTTCCAAGCGTATATGTTATGCATAGACAGTCACACTCTCTTCTACTCTGTATCACTTGTGAGATTCAATAAATCACGTTTAGGAGGAGATAGCTTATTATAAAGGAATACAGGTCATTCTGGCTATAAAACGTCTTTAAAAACAGTATGTTCTGAAAAAAAAAAATCTTTACTTCAGGACTGCTTAAGGAAATAATCTCTGAAAAAATAATTGACAGCCAAAGTAGAGTTCTTCAGACACTGGGGAATGTTACATGAAGAGTGCTGCCAGGCAGAAGCAGCAGGAAAATTAAGTCAGTGGTGAACTAGAATTCGAAGCTTCAAAGAAAGGAAAATAACCCAGATTAAAAACCCTCTTCTCCAATTTAGCAATGCAGTGATTAAAGATTCTGTTTTAAGACTAGGTCTGTAGTAGTTTTGTGATGGTAGTTATTTTTGGTTCCATATGAATTAGAGGACCTGAATTCTGTGCTTCATAGCTTAGCCTCTCTAATGAAGCTACTGACACTTTATATTAATTCCTCTGTTGTGAAAATAATGTGCAATGTTAATAAAAGGGTGTATGGTTGAAAGAAAGGATTTTAGTTGTAAGCACTAATAAAAGTGCAAATTATTTATAAAAATTGATGTAAGCCCACATGTATTGTTTCATCAGATTTAACAAGTGTGTGGTTTTTTTGTTTACAAACAGAAGGAAATTCGTAGTTCATTAGTACTTTCCATGCTGCAGCAAATGCTAATGGAAGATAAGGCGGACCTGGTACGAGAAGCTGTGATTAAAAGCCTTGGCATCATTATGGGATACATTGATGATCCAGACAAATATCAACAGGTATCATTTGATTTGGATTGTGCAAGTATACAAAGTCTTGTATAGTTATTTCATTAACAGAGGGATGTGTAGTTTCATGTATTTTGACTAAATGTTTTCAGATGCAAAAAAAATGATACTTTATATGAATGTTGACTTTATTGTATTACCAAGACCAAAAAGAAAACATATACTTAGAAGTGCCATTAGAAGCCTTCAATAATTTGCCTTTGAGAACATGCCACCTTGTTGCCCACCAGATACTATTAGCCAATTTGGTATCATGACTTCCTAACAGAGATTTGTCTACTACAGCAAAGGCTACTGGTAGTTCAACTTAATACTACCTAATAATGCTTCAGATAAGTGAAAATGGACTTCTGATCCTGTTTCAAATTTCTGAAGGCAGAATGGAAAAATGTTGATTATGATTTTCATAACTTGACTGTAGAGAAATACTAGCAGGATCACTGAACCACCTAGTGTTTACCTTTGCAGATGTGATGGGAATATCTGTTGAAAGACCTCCACTACTTACTGTAGTGTTTTAAAAAATAGATAATAATCTCTTTCTAGTCTGCATGTTTTGTGTGGGAAACTTTAGCATAAATTTTAGGAAGTTAATTAGATTCTTTATTGTCTTTTGCCAGGGCTTTGAGCTGCTGCTTTCAGCTTTAGGAGACCCTTCAGAACGTGTGGTCAGTGCAACACATCAGGTATTTTTACCTGCTTATGCTGCCTGGACAACAGAACTGGGAAACTTACAGTTCCATCTTATACCTACACTACTTAATAAAATTGAAAAATTGCTCAGGGTATGTGTTGAAGCTATTTTTACATTGGAGAATTTTCATTGTATCTGTATTGCATATTCCATCTTTTTAAAAAAATACAAACATGTAAGTAATTGCTACTTAACATTCTACGGGAGGAAAATTTTCTGGAGATTCTTGTTGTAACTCTCTAAGTTTTACTTTTACTTTATAGCCCAGTAATCCAAGTGCAGTTCATAAAATGCTTGCTTTTGGAGCTGTGACCAGATGATATCTGTTATTCTGAGTGCATTTTCCCTATATTTAATTTTTAAGTGTCATATAGTGTAGTTTTTAATAAAGTGCAATATTTATTAAAATAAAAAAATGAAGTAGAATTGAATTGTTTAGTTAGGTTGTTTGCAATTATGAGTTGGTTTGTCTGCACACGTGATTTGTAGATACCTGGAAAGGTCTGGAAAATAGGGTATCTCATAGCAGTCTAGCACACTTAACCAAGATGCTTGTTTTCATAGTACAGGCAACTAGTTCATTCCATTTTTAGATGCACTGATCTCTGAGATGAAGGATTTACATTTCCAACATGTGGTGGAAAGTGTTCTTTGAGAACATCAGTATGTTCATTGACATATTACTAAATGTTAAAGGCTGTATTACTTGAATCTTCTGAGTGATTTAAAGGGTGACAAGAGGATTTTGATGGTGACACAAAGTTAACTTGTGGTTAGGATAAATTGCTGTATAATTACTATGTCTGTATAGAAGCTCATCACAGATGTGTCTATCTCTTGCCAGGGAACACATGTCTAAGCAATAGGTCATCCAAACCAAAAACTTTTAAGTAAATGTCCGGTTTCTTTCAGGAAGGAGAACATGGCTTGGATGAACATAAGCTCCACATGTATCTCTCTGCTCTGCAGTCATTGATTCCTTCACTGTTTGCCCTGGTGCTACAGAATGCGCCTTTCACAAGCAAGGCCAAACTTCAGGGAGAAGTACCACAAATAGAAGGTAAATGACTATCATTTATGATAGGTGGAGCTTTTATAAACATAAATATAATTCAGTGTCAAATCTCAAATGGCTATTAACTGCAAAGGAAGAATTTCAGGAAATAATCCACAGTCCACATTTACTTTGGATTTTTATAGCACCCTGTCTGTGCAGTAATGATTTAAGTTTATATCCCCACACCTTGTTTTCTAGTCCACTTGTCTTTATGTTATATTTTCATATACAGCAAGTACAGAGCAAGGACCGTGCACTTGGCCTTGTTCAACTTCATGAGGCTCATTGAGCCCATTTCTTGAGCTTCTCCAAGTCCCTCTGGATGGCAGCTTGGTGTCATCTGCAAACTTGCTGAGGGTGCACTCAATCCCACTGTGTGCGTCATTGATGCAGATATTAAACAGCCCCAGTTCCAAGACAGACCCGAGGGGCACCACTTGTCACTGATATCCATTGGGACATCGAGTCGCTGGCCAGTACTCTCTGGATGTGACCATTTAGCCAATTCCTTAGCCACTATCAATCAAATCCATATTTCTTCAGTTAAGGGAGAAAGATGTTGTGGGGGGACCATGTCACAGCAGCCTTATTGAAGTCCAACTAGAGCATCCTCAGCTGTTCCCGTGCCCACTGATGTAGTCACTCCATCGCAGAAGGCCACTGGGTTGGTCAGGCGAGATTTGCCTTTGGTGAAGCTATGGTGGCAATAATAATTTCATCATCTCCTTGTAGTGACGTTTTCTCTTCCTAAGTGAGGGTTTTGCATTCTCTTCGGAGATGGATTTTTTACTCAGTGATTTTTGAAAAGTAATTTGATAATCTTACACAGAAGTCAATGAAGAGTTCCAGACTTTAACTCTCTACTGACCTCACCTCCACGGTATTTTCATCTTTTGTTCATGATTGTTTGTTCTCCACTGTTACAGTCACTAGATTTCCCCGACCTGTATCACCTCTTCAGGATGTGGCCATCATCATTGGAAGCCGCGAGCAGTTAGCTGTGTTGTTGCAGCTGTATGACTATCAGCTAGAACATGAGGGTACCACAGGCTGGGAGACTTTGCTATGGGTGGTCAATCAACTGTGAGTTAATTTGTACCTTATCGTTCTTAATTTTAATATGTGTCAAAATTAATATTTCTTAAGCATGATTACATTTACCAATTATTAAACATAAGAATTTTAAGTATGATTGTGTTTAAGAATTATTGAACAGGAAAAGATTAACATTTTTTAGGTGTTTTAATTTTTGTACTGAGTTGACGTTGATTTTATTTGGAAAATACCAACTATGTAGCAGAATGTAGGTAACTACTTGCTCAAAAATTTCTTTCATCTTTGCACTACTCTAGTCAGTTTTCTACTGAAGCAAAGATTGTTGTATCCTGAATATCTCATGAAATGCACTCTTCTGGAGTAACATGTTTGAAAATATAGGTCAAACTTCAGGCACTTACATCCTTGCTTTCTTCAAGGGTCAGGAATTGCATGAAATGTGTAGGTAATTTTATTAGAACCAATAGCGCTGTGTGCGTGTATATATTTATTAATATAAGCAGTAAATCTGTACTAATACAACTGTAGAGAAACAAAAGATGAGAGTAGTGATTAATAGCCTTTTGTTTCCTGATTTTCAGGCTACCACAGCTTATAGAAATAGTTGGCAAGATCAATGTAGCATCAACTGCCTGTGTCCATGAGTTCTCTAGATTTTTCTGGAGACTTTGTAGGACATTTGGGAAAATTTTTACAAACACTAAGGTAGGGTATTACCTTAAATGTTCTACACACAGAGTACCTTGATAGTATATATTCTCCATATTTGTGTTGTGTCTAAATAAGCACTCTTTATGTGACCGTTCATATTTGCATGCCACACTCATGCTTTTCCATAAGTACATCTAAACCTGCTATTTTTAAATCTCTATTTGCATCCTTTTGATTTCTAAGTACTGCTACCGCTATGTGGGTACTCAATAGACATTTTTACCATCTTATGCCATACTTTCAGTTTTTGTAAAAGCTGGCTATACTTTTTAGAGGTTTTTCTCTTTCTGTACCTTCAAAATGTCCTTTTTCTGTTTTGTGTTTTTTCTTCTTGTTTTTTATTCTTAGGAGAAAATTAAGTTAATTGACACTGGTAACAGGTTTTCTTACATGGGTTTCATCATCCATTCTATAGGTAAAACCACAGTTCCAGGAAATCTTAAGACTGTCTGAGGAAAACATAGGTACGTAACTTGTTACTTAAATGAATAAAAATTTATCTTAACCACACCTGGGAAAAAAACATCTGTCTGTTCAAATAACATTGTCAGACTACAGTTCTTAAATTTGTTGTTTTTCTAAAATGTTGAAAATCCAATCTTAACCTGAATTGAACTCTCTGAAGTTGTAGAGAGTGTGTGTGTAAAGTCCAAATAAAATCTCAAATCCAAATACCACTTAAGCGTCTTTCTAACATGTGCATTCGTATATAGATGCCTATATATAAAGTCATGCACATAGATATTAAAAAGTGAATATAATATGCACATATAAGTCTGTTATATATATGTGTGTGTATATATATTACACACATGTATATACGCGCACACACACACACATATATATATATATACACACACACACCTGTGTGTGTATTATATATAAAAAACCTAAATTCTTCACTGTGTTTCACTAGATTCTACAGCAGGTAACGGAGTGCTGACAAAAGCCACAGTTCCCATCTATGCAACAGGGGTCCTTACATGCTATATTCAGGTAGACGTTTTTTTTCTGTTTCTTTGTTAAAAGTTTAATAATATGAAAAAAGCCTTCTACAAAAAAAACCCAAACAACTTACTGTTTTCTTTAAAACTGACAGTGCTTTTATTTTTTGAGGATAGATAAGTAGATAGCTATAAACACTCTTGAAAGCAAAATTTTCTTGCTGGATTGTCTACTACATTTAGGTTGAGGTTTGAACTAGATGATCTTTCAAGGTCCCTTCCAACCCCTAACATTCTGTGATCAGTGGTAAAACCTGAAGTCAGTAAATCTTAAAATGATATCTGGTGTCTTCACCTCACCGCTGCTAACTCTTAGATGTCGACAGCTGCCATCTGCACCTATCAGAAATATTAAAGTTATTCTATAAGTGGGTTCTTGGCCATTTAACTGTGACCTCTGCAAACATAATTTTTGCAAAATTTACTGAAACAGGTAAGCAGGTAAATCACAATTTTGGCCATAGGTGGACTCTTAATATTTTAACGTTACCTAGTACTAAAATAAACACTCCACAAATAATATTACCTAATCTTCCAGTAGCCAGCAGTTATGAAGTGGCATATACATAGCTTGGAAGAAAAGATAAATACTTCATCTCACAAATGTTTAGTGGATTGCGAACAATCACAAACTGTCAGGAGCAATGGAAGTGCCTAAGTACTCTTCTTAGAAGTTTCTTTAATAAAACAGTTTGGATAATTTATAGAATCATAGAATCATTTTGTTTGGAAAAGACAGTTTAAGATCATCAAGTCCAACCATTATCTAACTCTACCAGAACCATGTCTAAATGTTTATGCACAAGTATGTGCTTTGTCTATTCTTGTGTTTGCTTTGAAAGGGTCTTGTTCTTATACGACTTTTTTTAAGTTCATAAGAAGATTGTTAAAGACTAAATCTAGTCTTTGCAATTGCAGCGGTATTTCTACTATTCAACGTTGTACTCTGCTCTTTCAGGAAGAAGACCGCAAGCTGTTAGTTGAATTCTTAGAAGATGTAATGACCATGCTTTCACTCTCACATGCTCCCCTCGATAGCCTGAAAGCTTCTTTTGTGGAACTGGGGTAAAGAATACACCTTGGGGTTTGCTAGATCTAAATACGTTAGAAGTTTTTATTAAAAGCTGCTAATTTAGCTGTAATTTTAATAACTGTGATGCTTCAGGTGAATAAAGGCTATACTTGCTTTTTCCCTTGGTGCTTCACAAAATGTAAACTTCTAATCTCTGGATTAAAAATATAGTGGTTAAAAATTTCTGAAGTGTGAAAACACAAAAAAAACCAACCAAAACAATAAAAAATCAAGTCATGGAGAACAAAATGGAAATTAATTTTGCATTTTCCATTATTATTATGATGTATTCTAGATAATGTATTTGCATTCAGTTCAGTGTTGTAATTTATTGAAAATTACGTTCTTAATGCTTTTTATTAAAAAATGAGCTTCAAAGTGCAACATATTTTCTAGACAGCAACATGTTGCATCTCCTTCAGAAGGAGATCAATGTTACATGTACTTCAGAAAGGAAAAATGCTGGAGTTTTAGATTTGCTGAACAGTGGATTGCGGAGACCTACATTTTGTAGGTGAAGAACACATCCAGGGTTTGGGAGTATTTGGGTTTTGGGTTTTTTTTCATTGACCAACTGTTCTCTTTTAGTGCAAACCCAGCTTATCATGAGCTGCTGTTAACTGTCTTGTGGTATGGAGTTGTCCATACTTCTGCTCTGGTTCGATGCACAGCTGCTAGAATGTTTGAGGTAAGTGTTACCCAAAGTTTTTTTTACACCTTTTTAAAAACAGTGATTCAGATAGTGTTGCTACGTTCTTAAAAATTACAGATGACTTAGGTTGTGTACTGTGTGATGGAGCAGGAAGTCATCGTGCCGTTGTTTCTCTATCTGTTCTCTGTTCAGCAGCGCGTCTTTCATTAAGCAATTTGCCATTGGCCACTTGCAGGGTCTTTCTGTCGTAACTCTGTATGTGTTTGGATCTGCTACTGACTTCATTGCTGCATTCTGATTATTGCATGCTGAAAATCAGTTTCCAGTGCTGAGAACACGTTTCGTTGCTAAACTCGTGTTTAAACCAGAGCTAAACACCTTGTCAAATGGGTTCCTTAGGTCTGTAGGTAAGCATAAACAAGTATCTCTGAGTTTCAACGTTGGCTTTTGCTATTCCACACATCATCAATAGCCAAATTCACAACTTACTGGTTTTAAATACTTTGTTTACCCTTACATTGCACTGGCACTGTAATTCAAAGTAGTTTCCATTGGTGCCAGATTGTTGTATGTAAAAACATACATCTAACCAATTTCATATTTTTTGATAAAAAATACAATAATTTGCTGTTGCTTTGCTTGCCACATAGTGGCAGCTTCATCTTTTCCTTAAAATCTATAAATTTGTTTGGGATAAAGACTGTTACATTTAACTGACTAATTTGCTTTTATATCTATATCATGCCTTATTTTCATCAAGTGTGAATTTAAAAAGGCATATACAAAACCTCCAGGACGCACTCCAATTGCTGAACAAAAACTTTTTTTTTCTTCCCTGTGTTAGACATATTTTTAATCACACTTTCACAGGTGGTTTGTTTGGGGGGGTTTCTTTGTTTTTCTTTTGTGTTTCTTCCATATTTGACTCGTTTGGATAGCTTTGCAGTGGACTTCTAGCTGAACCTGCCACCCTGTACCCATCTGAAGAAAAAAACAAAACAAAAAACCACAAACCAAATCTCAAGTCTGTCTCAGACAAAAGAGTGTTTAATATATAACCATCACCTTTCTTTACTTTAACTCTTCCAGTCATTTGAAGATCAAGCACTAAACAACCTCTTTCAGATATATCCTGAGACAGCCAACCCTGTCCTCATTTTTTTTTCCTCCCTTTAAAAAGGAGATAGCAATTTTTGGCCACCTGCAAAATATTTTTGAGTTGATTGGTTGGGTGTTTTTTGTTTGTTTGTTTTTAAGCTTAACAAAAGTATTGCTTATATTTTATATTGCTTATACTTTACCTTTTTTTTTTTTTAAAAGCATTAGCCAAACATGTGAAAGACCCCAGTAACAACAGACTGTTGTCTTGGTTGCAGTTTCTTTTCGAATTCAACTACATGTTGATTATTTTTAAACAGGAGGGGGGGGGGTTTGACTGCTTGTTTCCTGGTATACTTCAAATTTAACTAAAGCATAGGCAATTTTGTATCACACACTCTTCTCACTTAAGGTTAGTATCATATTGCCACTTTGTTCATAGCATATAATATAACATATTTCTACAGGGCAATATGTAAATTTGGGAAGTCACCTGTGTGAAGGGAGGGCAATAGTTGGCTTCACTTTTGCGAAATTCACTCATTCGAGGAATTTCTGACATCTGGGAAGCTGCTGAATGGCAAAGCCTGGCTATCAGGTGACAAGATCAAGAGCGTGTTGCCTGTGGGACGGCTCTGTGAGAACTGTAGAGGTCCTGCTTCCACATTGATCTAGAGGAATCAAAACAGGATGAAGATTTATGTTGTCTGTCTTTCCATAACCTTATGTGCTGCTACATGGCTTTGCCCATCCAGCTGTTTCTGTTGCTTCTGTGTTCATGTTTTCAGTCAGTAGTTTCCCTTTGGAATGTGGGTGCAAACAGATTTGATTGCTGCTTGTTTGAACATGAAGGTCGTAGCTGAGTTAGATGCTTTGTTGGTCTGTTTGGGCTTCAGGCTAGGAACACTCATCTTGAGAAGGACTCTTGAATTATAAAGCATGTTTTAGTTTCTGTAAGACAGAGCGATGCTGTTTACGGTGCTTTACCGGAATTGTAAGTGTGGCAGCCCACATAGTTATGGAGCTGAGATCATAAGTTGTTTCCTAATTACTCGGATCCCAAGCATTTTTTTCAAAGCACTGTATTACCTCTAAGCTCTTCTCAAAATCAAGATTAGTTTAAAAAAAAAACACAAAACCAAGTCCCTCTTTGTTAATAGTAAACATTGTCTATTTTAATCAATGGGAAAATTGGTAAATTTGTATATATAGAGAGTAAGCATCATAGTCAAAGAGCGACCAGTGTCCTTAACAGCTCTTTGAAGAGTAGCACACAAGCTCAGCACATCAGCCCTTTAAGATATTGAAAATAATCGTGACAGATTGATGTTAAAATATAGTAGTTGAACTGACATTTGTAATACTTTCTGAATAAAAGGCATAGGAAGTTGCAGCTTTCCCTCTCCGAGGTGCTTTGCAGCAATAAGACACACGTTCTGACACAGCTTAACAGTTCTCTTCCCATTCTTCCTTCTCTGGTTATTATCTGTAAGTCCAAAATACGTTCAGTGCATGCATCCATGCACACACATACACAAATATTGCTTAATAAAAAATACTGCTTTGTACAGAAGGCTTCTGGAAAGTCGGGTTCCTTCCAATCTTACTGAATTTACTTAGCTTTATATTCAGA